GGGATGTGAGACACATGGAAGGGGGGAAATGAGACTCATGGAAGGGCTGGGTGGGTATGAGACACATGGGGGGGGGGTGCTCATGGTAATTTTTTGCACCGGGGCCCGATGGTTTCTAGTTACGCATCTGATTAATGTATATTTCTATATTCCCTTTACTGTTGGTGGTATAAGTGCAGGAACAGTAGGTTATATGCTGCAGGGTTGCACTCCTTGTGTGTGTGGTCTATTCTGGAAGGGGAATGGACGTGATGTCACTTCCCCTCACCCATTGTAAGATCAACCACATTGATACCATGGTTAGAGCAGTGACAGGTAGGTACATTGCCTGTCGCTAAACCCGGACTATGCTACCAACGGTAGGGTTTGATATATAGTGGTTGGCCTTCTAGCCAAATATAAAAAGAGCATGTGGTGCCAGTCAAACCAATCAGCACCAAGTTCAAACACTGAGAGCACAGAGCAGATCAAAAGATTCAGAGATATAGGGCCCCACACTTTGGACTATAGCCCCACATCTCTTCCCAGTGACACCCTTGAATAAGAGTTATACAGAATGTGTTTTAATACATTGAAATATGACTGTTCTGCCTAACATAATTTGGAATCAGAATAATTCATCAATATAAAAGCTACAATATAGAATTTAATCATTATCGAAGAGCTGACCAATCAATGAAAAGTTACCTTATTGTTTGTGAGTGTTTCTTATCTATCAGAATTTAGAATTCAAAGTTTTTTGACTTGGCTGCTTCATTACTTTCTAACCCTATTAAAATAGACCCTGTTACTCTATATCAGACTTAGCTACTCTATGAAACTTTTTGCGTTTTTTCTGGCATTATTAGATTATTAGATTTGATCATTGTAGATTATATACCTTATCTATGAAGATTTATTTCTAGAAAATGTTATCTATTCTTACACTTTTGAGAGCATTTTCATTGAGCTGCTAAAAATATTGTTAATTTACATACCTGTACTAAGACTCCTAGTTTAACATCTTCACATGTAATGGTTCTTTTCCAGTATTTACATTTCTCCCTTCCTCCATGAGATTCAAATTCAGTGACCGTATAAAATGTTCCGTCTGACTGGATACACTTGTCAGTTGTTGATCCTGTGATATAAAGTATATAATATAATATTGTAACCGCTAGTACTCCAATTTACCGCTATAACGTCTTATAACTTAGAATTTAGCAGGGCTAACCATACAGATATCTTAGCTAAAATATTGTACAGTCGGTATAGAGTTTCTCTATTTAAAATACATACATAATTGAGAATACAATAAAAATAGGAGTTGGAAGCAATAACTTTTGTCTTATTAATATAGTTTATTGAATATAAATGAATACAGATAGTAATCCATTAATATATCATAAAGCAGAGTATATAAGATTAAATGAATAAATGCTTGCAATATAATTAGTATAACATACCCTCCTGATTATACAGGTAATCTCTCAGTATGTCACCTCCAGAGTCGTTCAGTAAGTCTCTATCTAGCATTGATCATGCATGTATATATAGTATAGCATTTCTAATTACTACTGGTAATGTATGGGTTAATTCATCTTAGGGTTAAAAGCAGTTCATATATAAAAATAAAAGAAAAACACCCTTATCAGTCTAATGTCATAACCCAGACATCTTTAATCTGTATTTGGACTAGAAGTTAGGTTGACATACACCTTAGGGTTAAAAGAAGTTCATATATAAAAAATAAAAGTCTAATGTCATAACCTAGACATCTTTAATCTTTGTTTGGACTAAACGTTAGGATGACATAGGCAAAGCCTTGAATTGTTATTGCATTAAATTAAGACAAGATGGAGTAAACATGTTGTGTACTGTAAATAGGCAAAAGGTTATTAGTTAAAGAAACAGTTGCAGTTTAAAGAAATACAATGTAGCAATGTGTATTATACCTACAATTGCCCATCACAATATCTGGACACTAATTCTCTGAATTTTGTTGTAAGGTTAGTGTTCGGGTTATAGTAGGGTTACAGCTGGTGCAGGGTTTGCATTAGGGTTGGTGCATTGTTAAAGTTGTGTTACGGTTAGAGTTGGGGTAGAATTAGAGTTAGGACTGGTGTTGGGCTAATGGTGGGGTTATTGTAGGATTGGGGATGATGTTAGTGTTAGTTCTAGGATTAGTTAGGGTTATGGTTTAAAAATAAAAAAAATTCTACACCTGCCCAATAATGCGTCGCGCCAGCATAGTGGAATCCAAAAGAGGCAATAAGTTTACCAAGAGAGGCAGTATAAAGAGAAAATAGAAGGGGACCAAGGACAGCTTGGTTTTTCTGCCCCGTCCAGGAAGTGTAACCACTGTTCCTTCCAAATTGAACTTGCAAACTATGCTTCCAATGGTGTCTCTAGGAGCATACAGTGCCTTCGCTATATTTTTATATCCTGTTCCTTGTTTGTAAAGAGCAATGATCTCTTCTCTTAACTTTGTGGACCATTCTTTTGACATAGCCATATTTCAAACATGCAGTCAAATGTAACAATGTAACTCAGCGCCCCCTGTTTCACCTCTTGCCCCTGTCATGCTTGACCTTGGCTTTGTATCTGACTCCGTTTTTCTCTTTATCCCCCCGCCTCTCTGCAGCTCAGCCGCGGCGAGGGAGCTGTCTGCTGTCTGCTCTCTGCTTCCTCTCGCCGCGCGCTGATGCCGGGATGTCATATTCCGGCTCCCAGCTACAGCAGACAGCCCGCACGGCGAGAGGGAGCAGAGAGCAGACAGCTCCCTCGCCGCGGCTGAGCTGCAGAGAGGCGCCCGCCCCACTTGACCCCAGGGAAAAGTCCACACCAGCACTCCAGGTAGGAGGCTGGGTGGACATTTTTTTAAAATTGAAATATAATAATTTGTTCTTGTGTGTGAGTGTGTGTGTGTGTGTGTGTGTGAGTGTGTGTGTCTGTGAATGTGTGTCTGTGTGAGTGTATGTATGTGTGTGTGAGTGTCTGTGAGTGTGTGTGTGTGTGTCTGTGAATGTGTGTCTGTGTGAGTGTCTGTGAGTGTGTGTGTGTGTGTCTGTGTGAGTGTGTGTGTCTGTGAGTGTATGTATGTGTGTGTGTCTGAATGTGTCTGTGAGTGTGTGTGTGTACGTATATATATATCTATATATATATATAGATATATATATACGTACACACACACACACACACGCAGGGCCGGCGCTATCTGAGTGCCGGCTCTGCTCTAAGCCTCCATGGGCCGGCGGGGAGACCAAAGATCTACCTCACCGGCCCAAAGCAGCATGGAGGGAGGCAGGAGAGGACCCAGGGAGCTCTAGACAGAAGCTCTGCCAGGTTCCTCTCGCAATATCTGAGTGTTGCTGCGGCAACGCTCAGATCTCGCGAGAGTTAACTCTAGCACCGCAGGCTAGAGTTCACTCTCCACTGGACCACCAGGGATGGCACATGGTAGCAAGGATTTACTAATCTGCCAAATCCCTCCAAACATACAGCACACACACATACAGCACCTACACACATACAGCTCACACACACACAGTACACTAACCGCACCCTCATAAACACACACAGCACCTTTAAAAAAATACAACACCCTAACACACACAAACAGCACCCTCACAAATACACGACACTCACACAAACAGCACTACTGTTTGTGTGAGGGTGCTGAACGATACAAGCACTAAAGGGAACTGAATCAGAAACCACAATAGGGCAGGGAGCTAAGGGAAAGGTGAGTATAAATAACCGAGTGCTCAATTTGATTGGCCCCTGTCATATCCACGTCCCCAAAACGTGAGTGTATGGGGAATGTGGAATGACATGGGCCAATGGGAGACCATTTCACATTTTGGCTCCCACTGTCCCTTTAAGAGCGCTCCAGAGACACGCGACACGCTCTTAGAGCCAGGTGGGGCAAGTGACCACATCTCGCGGTCAGTGCCTGCCTTCCTGTAAACTGTCGGATGAGCTGCACGCGGCTCAAACTGATGCAGGACCGCGCGCGGCGGGAACAGAGGACCTCAGCCGCCCCCCAGAGAGGCTAAGTACCGCTACAGTACCCCCCTGAAGACAAGCCCACCGGGCGTGTTGGACCAGGCCTGGCAGAAAACGGGAATGGAAGGAGCGCAGAAGGCGAGAAGTGTGAACAGCATCAGCGGAAATCCAACTGCATTCCTCAGGTCCATACCCCTTCGAATGCCGCGGCCTCTTGCGCCTACTCCTGCACAGCAACTCATGGGAGTAACAATGCACGCAGTGTCAAGGAAGAGGGTTGGCCACCTTCCCCAGCGACCACAGAGAAAACGAGAGTCAAGCACAGCAGTCACCTCGAATTCCTCATGTCCCTCCACAGAAACAGGAGGAGGAGGAGGAACATGTCGGGTATAATGGTTACACAGGAGTGGCTTCAACAAGGAGGTGTGAAAGATGTTAGGAATATGCAGGTTCCTAGGAAGATCTAAGGCATATGAAACAGGATTAATTTTATGTAACACATGAAAAGGACCGATAAAACGGGGAGCCAGCTTCATAGAAGGCACACGAAGGCGGATATAGCGAGTGAAAAGCCAAACCCTTTCCCCCACAACATAGGATGGAGCCGCCCTGCGATGTTTGTCAGGTTGAACCTTTTGGCGAGCAGCAGAGTCCACCAAAGAACGCTGAACCTGCTCCCAGGTAGAACGTAAACCAGCCAAATGCTCATCCAGAACTGGCATGCCCTGTAAGGAGAATGCAGCTGGAAGAACAACAGGATGCTGGCCATAAACAACGTAGAAAGGGCTATTACCGGAAGATTAATGAGCAGCGTTATTACAAGCAAACTCAGCCCTAGGAAGCAGGTCAGCCCAATTGTTCTGATGGTGGGATAGGAAACAACGAAGATACTGCTCTATGGATTGGTTGGCAGTTCAGCAGCTCCATTAGACTGGGGGTTGGTAGCGGAGGAAAACGAGAGAGAAATGCCCATCTCCGAACAAAAGGCTTTCCAGAACCTGGAAATAAACTGGCTACCCCTATCGGACACTATAGACTCTGGTATACTGTGTAACCGAAACACCTCCCTGGCGAAGATAGAAGCAAGTTCCTTGTATAAGGGCAATTTGACAAGAGACACAAAATGAGCCATCTTAGAAAATCTATCCACTATCATCAGGATGACTGTTTTACCATTCGAAGGAGGCAACTCAACAATAAAATCCATGGACAGATTGGACCAAGGCCTCTCGGGTATGGGTAACGGATGCAACAACCCACAAGGAACTCTATGAGAAGACTTCATACTGGCACAAGTAACACATGCCCATACGTAATCGGTGACGTCCTTGCATAAGGAAGCCCACCAGAAATATCTTGAAACTGCTGTTAAGGTTTTAGTGAAACCAGGATGCCCAGCAGTTTTGGTGTCATGATAGAGTGACATAATTTCCTGTCTTTCAGGAACATCGATGAACAATTTATCAGCAAGTCTCTCTCTAGGAGCCTTGTTTTGTTTAGCCTGTATGACTTGCAAGAGGGATGAAGAAATAGAGAGAACAGTAGTAGCTATTATTCTGTCCGGGGGAATGACAGGGGTATCATCAAACTCTTGTTTGTCGGTAGTTTCGAATTGTCTGGACAGAGTGTCAGCTTTAGTGTTACGATCACCTCGTCTGTAGGTGATGATATCATTGAAGCGAGATAAAAAAAGTGACCTCCTGGCCTGCCTAGAAGACAATCTCTTGTCTTCACTAAGGTAGGAAAGGTTTTTATGATCAGTAAGTATAAGGATGGGATCCTTAGTACCCTCCAAAAGATGTTTCCATTCCTTAAGTGCTACAACAATTGCAAGGAGTTCTCGATTGCCTATGTCATAATTATTTTCGGCCTTGGACATCTGCTTGGAAAATAAACCACAAGGATGTAATGGATTCTCTGGTGATTCCCTTTGAGACAAGACGGCACCCACCACAATATTTGAAGCATCAACTTCAAGAATAAAAGGCAAAGAAGGAACAGGATGCTGTAAAATAGGAGCAGAAGCGAACGCAGTCTTAAGAAATTCAAAAGCCTCAAGCCCTTCCGGGGGCCAGACATGAGTATTACCATCTTTTTTAGTCATTCGGGTTATAGGCGGTACAATGGAAGAAAAACCTTTAATAAGGCGTCTATAATAGAAAAACCAAGAAAATGCTGAATGGCTTTCAAACCCTGAGGTAGAGGCCCTTCTATAACAGCAGAAAGCTTCTTGGGATCCATACGAAAACCCTTAGCAGAAATTAGATACCCCAAGAACTGGACTTTGGATTGATCAAACAAACATTTTTCGAGTTTACAACAGAGACCATTAACAAGAAGGGTTTTCAAAACTAATTTAACATGCATGTGATGAGTATGCAAAGCGGGTGAATATATTAATATGTCGTCCAAGTACACTATTACAAATGTGTGAATGTACTCTCGTAAGATATCATTAATAAACTATTAAACCACTGCTGGGGTGTTACAAAGACCAAAGGGCATCACAGTGTATTCGTAATGACCACTCCTAGTATTGGATGCAGTTTTCCATTCATGGTACTTTTTTATATGTATGAGATTGTATGCACCACTAAGGTCCAGTTTAGTAAACACAGTAGCTTGTTTAAGCCTATCAAATAATTCCATGATTAAAGGTATAGGGTAAGCAATTTTATGGTGATTTTATTAAGGCCCCTATAGTCGATACAGGGTCTTAAATTGTCCTCCTTCTTCGACACAAAGAAGAAACCAGCCCCTTTTGTAAAGATTATTTGATATATTCCTCCATGACAAGGTTTTCTTGAGGAGACAAAGGATACACCCTCCCTTTGGGAGGTATAGCGCCAGGTAACAAATCAATAGCACAATTGTAGAGTCTGTGAGGCGGTAACATTTCAGCCTCCCTTTTATCGAAGACAGACTTAAGAGTCATGTACTGAGGTGGTATAACAGTAGACAAAAGAGGAGTAGTAGGAACATTAATAGAATTTAAAGGAGTGATTTTAACGATACAAGACTCTTGGCAAGAATTACTCCAAGATACTATTTGTCCTGACTCCCAGTCAAAAGTGGGATTGTGAGAACGCAACCATGGGTACCTTAACACGATGTGAGAGGAAGGAGAAGTGATGATCTGAAACCAAATGGTTTCTGAGTGTAACAACCCTGTAGACATATGCAACGGTTCAGTTTCATGTGTGATAACTGGGGAGAATAATGGTCTACCATCTATGGCCTCAATCGCCAAGGGTGTCTTCTTCTCTCTAATGGGTGTATTGTGTTTTTTAACAAAGCCAGAATCTATGAAGTTCTCGGCCGCACCGGCTAGTATGATCCCTGCTATGCTATTTTTTTCAAGATGCAGGGAGACAGGGATAAGCAATCTGTTAAGAGGCAAATGTGGGAACTCAGATGTCACACCCAAGGCCAGTCCCCTATACAGTCTTAGGTGCGATAGTTTTCCGGACGCACGAGACATTCCTGTCGCTTATGGCCCTTCCTACCACAGTACAGGCAAAGTCCCTCCTTTCTCCTATACAATTTTTCAGCATCAGAGAGTTTAGCAACCCCTAATTGCAAGGGTTCCTCTTGTAATACTTTGGAACCCTCAGGATTAGCAACTCTAGAGGTATTAAGTGTAACAAGGCGTCTATTCCTAGTCTTGGTATATAGCCTGTCACGAATCCTATTGTCTATATCAATGAGATAGTCGATGAGATCTTCTAAGGGTATAGGAAGGTCCCTGGCCGCTACCTCATCCAATATAGTTTCAGATAGACCTTCCATGAACTCAGTAGTCATCCCATTGTTGGTCCAATCTACCTGTGAAGCAAGGGTACGGAACTGAATAGCATAATCGGCAACAGACTTAGATCCCTGTTTAATTCTCATTAACGCCCTGGCGGCATTCTTCGACCTTTTAGTTCTGTCAAAGGTTCTACAAAAAGTCGTAAGGAAGCTATTGAAATCATGCACCATAGGTCCCTTAGCCTCCCAAATAGGATTTGCCCACTAAAGTGCTTTATCTGTAAGTTGGTGCACAAGGAAACCAACCTTAGACCTATCAGTGGGAAATTAACGTGGATACATTTGAAAGTGGAATTCCACTTGATTAAGGAATCCCCTGCATGTCTTAGCATCCGCTCCATACCTAGGAGGAGGGGTTAGATGTGCAGAAGCATTAGGCATG